CAAAAAATAAAAAACCGGCCCAAACCCGGGGTGTAAATTTATTTTAACTCTTTGGAAAAGTACCAAAAATGGTTTTAACGAAAATCCCGTTTTTTTTAAGGGACCCAAACGGTTTAAAATTTCAGCTTGTCGTTGGGCTGGAAAAAAGTACGTTTCCCCGTCACTGGAATGCACTGAATTGCACTAATCACCCAAAAATATTAACGCTAGCCAACCGGCGTGTTAAATGGAACTAACTCTTATTGAAAACGTACAAATAGTTGTTGGTGACAGCAGAAAAGTCAGTTTATTTTAGCACCAATCGGCAACTGGCAGGCCACCAAACTTGTTGCACGACAGCCACCCAAAAAAAAAAATGGTGTATGTCACTTTAAAATTATTCGATTCTTGATGAGAGCTGAGGCCCTAAGTTAACGATTTCTGAGAGTCCTGAGTAACGATTCTGTGTCCCTGAGTAACAATACCTGTGTCCCTGAGTAACAAATTTCTGTAGTCCCCTGAGTAACGATTTCTGTGGCCACGATAGACCCTCAATACACAGAGGTCTGTCTCTCTTGAATGACCGAAGGACTAATGGAGAATTCTAAGATGGCCGCGATTTATAGCTCCACCATTACACAGTGCTGGCTGGCTGGCTGCTGATTGGCTAATGCGATCACATGTCATGATTCATGACTCATGAATGCATTATGGGTCAGCTGCGCGCCTTGTCTGCGCGCCTTCCCAGAGATCCCCGCCCCATCTTCTCTGTCCATTTTCTCCTGTCGCCACACATGTCGCCGCCATTTGTGGGAAAATTCGATTCGTGCATCCGAAGTTTGCTAATCTTCGGATTCGTCGCGAATAGAATTTTTCCAAATCTTCGGAACGAATTCCACTTCGTCATGTTCGATTCGCTCATCTCTAGTTATAATCTTTCCAAATTATACTAAGTATTTTTGTTACTGTCTGTGCCCACATTGAAGATATTTTCCACCACGTCCCTGTTTATCTTCATCTCTGAGTTGCACATTCTGTAAAATTAGCTAAACTGCTTTGCAGGTGGCAGGCTGATTTGCCAGAGCTGTCAGAAGAGGACTGGGACAAGTGAGTGCCATTATGTTACCAATATGGTTTTAAGTGAAATTCCTTCATTGTTCTTTTTATACTCCTGTACACCTAGCTGCTGTTTACCTCACAGTCAGTCCTTTATGTTCTTGATGTCAGTTTGCTGAGGGCACTTTCTTCCATATGGTTTGGGCCTGCCCTAGGCTTTAAGCCTTTTGAACATCCATCCTTGCCATCATTAATGATATTTGTGACTTATTGCTAAAGTTGGATCCAAAGGCGTTCCTCTTGGGGGTGCGGAAATGAACCTGTATGTTAAATTGTTTGGGGTTTTTTTACCTCTTTTTATGCCCACAAGAAAATCATCTTTAAGTGGAAGTCTCCTGTACCTCCCACCATATGCTTCTGGTGTTTAGCCATTAATGTTGTATTGTCTTTTATATAAACTGACATATGAAAGTCCTAAGAAGTTTGCAAAATTTGGTCTGTTTGAATATATTCCTGGGGTACATTGTATATTGCACCCTTTTCTTCCACTTTCCCTTCCCTCTACCCTTTTTTCCTACCCTTCTCATCCTTCCTGGTTTTCCCGTGTCCCTTTTACCTTTTTGTTCCATTACTTCTCCTTCTCTTCCCCCCCCCCTTTTTTATTTAGTTTGGGCTGGAATGTTGAAACCCTATTATTATCCTACTTTATTTTTTTGCTATGATGTACTCGGGCACTTGCTCACTACTGGGTTATGTTCATGCATGTTTTGATATTGGTACCTACTGTACCATACAGAACATTGATTACAGTTGAATGTTCTGCTCTGTTTCTACAGCTGTTCTTGCTTCTGTACCTTTTTCTACCATTCTACTAAAAATATACCTGTTAAAAAATGTTCTGGCAGAATAAATCCTTCTACTGCATTTAGACTTTAATATTTGGCAAGAATTTAGGATAAAAGTAGAATGTCTTTCTCAGAAAAATGTATAACATGCACAGTGGCTCAGGTTCAGTACCAAAACTTAATCTCCAAAATATTTCAGAGATCTTTGCTGAACATTAGGTTATTATAATATTTTATTAGCATTCTTCTGAAATCTTTTCATTTTTCAGGCTAGCTAGGTACGTTTCTTTCTGTAGGTTTGTGACATTATGGCTTTCAGTAAACTGCATGTAAATCTTATCTCTCTCCCATCTCTCTTACTTTGTTTCTGGTTTTTAGAAGTTCATCTTACTTTTCTTTTTTTGAGATCCTACTGATCCACTGACATTTCCTGCTATTATCTACAAAGCTTTTAGTGTACTCCTCCCTTTCTATTAGCCTAACAAACATTTTTGTCTTGACAACCTGTGCCTTGGGGGCCTCTGCAAGGTGTGTGAGAATCAGCAGAAGAGAAGAATACTTTATATCTGGTTTTAGGAGCAGTTGTTCCTTTATGAGAACCATTCCAAGTTAGGTGTGAAGCTATTTTATAGTTTACCTATCATTATAATCTACACTTCATCTGAATCAAAAGGACAAAGGTCATTACTACCAAGCCACTTTAATATTTGAGGTGCCCATAATAAGAAAACAATACTTCCAAGCTCATCTGTGACCTAAAATCTAAACAGCCATGTCTAACAATTGGATATTTAACAAACTTCACTGACTTTAACCACTTTTACCCCCTTCCTGCCCAGGCCAATTTTTCAGCTTTCAGTGCTCACACACTTTGAATGACAATTGCACGGTCATGCAACACTGTACCCATATGAAATTTTTATCATTATTTTGAGACAGATAGAGCTTTCTTTTGGTGGTATTTAATCACCAATGGGTGATTTATTTTTTGCTAAACAAACCAAAAACTGAAAATTCTGGAAAAAAAAAAGTTTTTTTTCTTAGTTTCCGTTATAAAATTTTGCAAATAGGTGATTTCTCTCCTTCACTGATGTGTGCTAATGAGGCTGCAGTGATGGGCACTGATAGACTGCACTGATGGGCATTGACAGGCATCACTGATGGGCATTGAAAGGCAGCATGCATATATGGCACTGATAGGCGGCACTGACTGACACTGATAGGCGGCACTGACTGGCACTGTTAGGTGGCAGTGACTGGCACTGTTAGGCGGCACTGACAAACAGCACTGACTGGCACTGATAGGTGGCACTGATCGGCAGCACTGATAGGTGGCACTGACTGGCATTGATAAGTGGCACTGACTGGCACTGATAGGTGGCACTGAAAGGCAGCTCAGATGGGCACCGATATGTGGCATTGATGTGGCACCGATGGGCACTGACAGCTGGCATTAATGAGCACTGACAGCTGGCATTGATGGACACTGACAGATGGCACTGATGGGGCTACACTGATCATCAGGGCACACTGATCATCAGTGCCCTGATGATCAGTGTACATGTCCCCTCTGAGGAATGCCGATTACCGAGTTTCCTCTCCTCATGAGCTGTCAGCGTGACAGCTCGTGAGGAGAGGAATGCCGATAACCGGCATTTCCTTATTTACTTGCCATCAGCTGTGATTGGACACAGCTGATCACATGACAGAGCCGAAGTGTCATGGAAGAAGCCGATGTTTTCTTCCATTGGTTTTCAAAGAGGGGGAAAGAATACTGAGTATGAGTAGGACGTTTAAAACTAGACTGAAGTTTCGCTTTAAGATATACTTGCTGAAGATTCTTCAGAATACAGCACAATTCCAATGTGCTCTATGTTTTTGTTTTTTTTTTTTCCGCCATCCCAAATGTGGAAGGAACCACCAAGCTCAGGAGGATATCTGGTTTTTGACACTTCCCAAAGTGTCAAGTACCTTTTTCATGCTTTTCTTGTAGGTTTGGCTTGTGTTCACTTTTCACATAGTGACAGAGTTGCTTTAACAACTGTTGAGGTATCAGTCACACAAGGGAAGCATTGTTTTTAATACGTCTCCTTTCTCATAGACTTGCATTGGAAGGAGAAGCAGTAAAGCACAACCATTGTATAACACTGCAAAGCTCAAAACACAGCTAGTTGTGCCGTTTGCTGCCATTTCTTAAGCCAGTGTCCCTGTCAAGGCCTGGTGTTAAAATTTTCAGAGATGGTGGGTCTGAGACCCCAAAACCATCCCTCTGATTTACTACTTTTTCAGGGTCCTTGCTAATCTCAATATGCAATCTCACTTGCACACCTTTGAGAAGCCTCTTCATTCCCAGTGATTCTAGGCCTAGTCCTCAGGGGCCCCACCAGACATCCAAGGCCCATGATATGTGCAGGCCCAGGTTGCTGTGCATGTGCACCCAGGGTAACCTTTCCTGTTATGCCAAGCAAGCGGACCCTCCTTCACTAGGCCAATTCCAACCAGGATGTCCACACTCTACAGCCCTAGACTATACTGCCAACATCTTAAAAAGAATTAACAACCAGTTCAGCATTTATAATAGCTACAAAAAACATTACCTTACAGTTGCATTTAGATGCTCACCAAGCTGAATTTTTGTTACTTGTGCTGATTTATTTATTTATTACAGGTACTTATGTAGCGCTGTCAATTTATACAACGCTTTAAATACAGTATAATACAATATGCCTGACAACACCTTGACATGCCTAACCAGGTCTTTTTGTGTCATTGATGCAGTAAAGGCTTCTTCCTGGCACCTTGACCATGCAGCTCATTTTTGTTCAAGTGTCATCATATTGTGCTTTTTCAGAACAACCACACTGTCTTTTTCCAGAGCAGCCTGTATTCTTCTTGTGGTTACCTATGGGTTTCCCTTTGTATCCCAAACAATTCTTCTGTCAGTTATGGCTGCAATGTTTCTTGGTCTACCTGACCTTTGCTTGGTATCAAGAGATCCACGAACTTTCCACTTCTTAATAGGTGATTTAACAGTACTGATTGGAATATTCAAGGCTTTGGACATCTTTTTATGTCCTATTCCATCTTTACAAAGTTCTATTACCTTGTTACACAGGACTTTTGGCAGTTCTTTTCTGACCCCATGGCTCAGTATCTAGCCTAGTCAGTGCTTCCATGTAAGAGCTAGCAAACTCATTGACTATTTATACACTGACACTAATTGCAATTTAAAAAGGCACAGATGTGGGACATTAACCTCTAATTGGCATTTTAACCCGTATGTGTCACCTTGTGTGTCTGTACCAAGGCCAAACATTGCAGGGTATGTAAACTTTTGATCATGGCCACTTGGGTGATTTCTGTTATCATTATGATTTAAAAAGGAGCCAAACAACTATTTGATAATAAATGGCTTCATATGATCATCATCCTTCAATAAAAGAGCATTTTTTGGCATGATCAATATCAATGCAAACATTTCACAATTTCTGCCAGGGTATGCAAACTTTTGAGCACAACTGTGCACTGTGCACTATATATATATTATATATTATATATATATATATATATATATATATATATATATATAATTGTACATTCACATCAGTCTCTAACCCTCAAGGAACATATAATCTAAGCTCCTTAACTCAAATTCATACATACACATACTAGGGCCAATTTAGCCAGCATCTAATTAACCTACAAGCATGTATTTTGAGTGTGGGAGGAAACCCACCCAGGCACAGGGAAACATGCAAACTACAGGCAGGTGGTGCCATGGTTGGGATTCAAACCAACGACCCTAGTACTGCCAGGTGGAAGTGCTAACCATCTAGCCACTGTGCTATCCACTGATAGTCCCCGCCTAACACATCACAGATACACCAATAAATTAAAACATTTACTAAACATCTTGGCATCTTGACTTACACAACAGTCAATTATATCCATGTTTTTCCAAAAATAAACATTAGAGCATAACTTGTCCTAAAGTTGGGTTTTACAGGAATGGTACTCACAGAATTGTTCTAGACATACCCTGCTGTAATTTTCCACTTTATTCCCATCCAGGGGTTCAGCTAATTTCTAGCTTTCCCCTGAAATGGGAAGACATACACAAACCCTACATCCTTCTCCATAGAGGTTAGAGATGAGCTTGGGAGTCCCCTGAACTTCAATACATTGACTGAAGATAGGTATGAGGCCACATAAGGGTACTTTAGTTGCCAGAATCCCACTCTATTGTTTGCTGTGGGGTGGTGAAACCTGGCCCTCAGCTGATTGGACTAAAAATTACATTCAGATAAAAGTGATTTGGGAGGACACCTAAGCTCTTCTCCAGTCATTGTGCCTCTAGTCTTCCAGTCTCCCTTAAAAAATTCACTGGCCAACAACATTTGAGTTGCATGGATAAGCTTTCCTAAAGGCAGGAAATCCTGGCTCCACCCAGGATCCCCATAGCCTGCATATGTAAAGAACAAATATATCTGTATACAGCATACCAGTATAAGGTATACATTACATCTGTATTAAACACAAAACCAAAAATGTAATCTATTGCAGCTTACCAATCAATGGATAGGTGGCTGCATCAGCTTTCTTTTCTTAGACTTTCTTCCCTATGTTTTCACCTGGTGATTAGACCAATAACACACCTCCTGTATTAGAGTGCTCCCATTCTGGATGAAAGAGCACAGGGGGCACAGCAGACAGCAGCATTGTCAGTCTGGGGGGAGGGGAGTTAGCAGATTTAAATACAGTAACAATTTGAAGACAAACTCTAGCTCACACTTTAAAATAAGTCACAGCAAACAGTTTTTTTCCTTTTGGGTGTTACAATAATAAATAAGGTGTACAATAATAATAAATAAGGTGTTACAATAATAAATAAAAGGCGATAATTTTAACCACCCCTGTCAGTGTTAAATGTTTTGTATCCAACAGGTAACTGATACATTTTGCTGGAGCGCTTTTGTTTTTGAAAACCCACAGACTCGCTGGCTTGATCATCAGATGAAAATAGAAGAAATAAAACCTAAAAAATTAAACAAATGCAGCCATCACATCCAAGAGTTGGTAAGCTGCAATTAAATAAATGTGTGTTTTTTGGTTTAATACTGCCTTAAGCAAGATGAATAGGATTGATAGGATTATTTACAAGCTGGTTATGTTTTATATGTATAGATGATATGTATGCAGGAGCGGACTGACAACTCATGGGGCCCCCGGGCAATAGGGGATCATGGGGCCCCTGTGTCCTTGCCCAAACTCAAAAAAGCCTATGAAAAAGGTACCAGGGGCATCTCATGGGGCCCCCTACTGACCCCAGGCCCTCGGGCAGTGCCCGAGTTTCCAAATAGACAGTCCGCCCCTGTATGTGTGTATATATAAAATAATTCAAATGGCTGTACATTTCCTTTACAAAGGTGAAACCGAATAATCAGATGCCTGTTTAACCTTACTTTTTACATTGACAAATCTGAGATTTCCTTTCAATGGCGAACCGGCATCTTTCTATGCACACTCTCCTCCTTTTGAATAGTGCCTGTAATTTCTCTGTCCCGTCGCAGGTTACTTTGTTTCTGTGCAGTCCTCATTAATAAATTAACAGCTCTCTCCTTCTCAGCTATTTTGACATCACCTTGCCATGTAAACACATTAGTAGAAGCTAATACTTTAATAATGGCTGAGAAAGGCCTGTCCTGTGATTGACGAGGAGGTAGAAAACGATTTAATCATTACAATTATCCAGATGTTTACTTGAAAGGAGACATTTAGGAGATTAATATCTGTAGATGGTTTTATTGAAGCTTTCAGAAGATGATGGGAGGTCTTTGCATGAAATCTAGAGAAATAAACAGCCAGGATCAACTAAATAAAACAGCTAAAAATAGCGTTGAAGGAAAAAATGTTCAAATGCAGACCGTTACTGCATCTACTCAGTTTTCCTTGCAAAGCAACTGAAAGGAATATGCAAATTAGCATTCAACAACCTCCAGATTATGCATCGGTGTCTGCTTATGACAGGGATTTTTAGAGCACAACTCAAACAGGACCAGGTGAGGTTTCTAGTTCACAGATCACAACCCCCTGATGAAGCCACGTGACTGGTGGCGTAACGCGTAGGGGTGGGGCTACGACGTCACTCGGAAGGAATCGGATCATTCGGTAGATGGCAAGTACATGACTCGGCGGCTGGCAAAGGCTTTACGATATATGAGTGCAATCTTTGAAATGTTTAAATGTGAGTGCATTACCCGGATGGTGGGAATAAAAATGTTTTAAAGGATAAAGCACTATGTCTTTACTTTCTTCTTACATGCGGAGAAACGTATAAAGAGGATAAATAGGTGGTTTATCACAGCTGAAGGAGGGATTAATCCCTGCAGGGATAGTTAACCCACAGAGGATATCTGCATTGATCCAAAGGGAAGGACCCTTCAATCTATCCATAAAGAGCTAATTCTGGCAGGTTCCAAGGAAAGTGAACCACAAGTGTGTATAGCCTAATTGTAGGCATTAAAGGAGGTGAGCATACATCTTCACTAATTGGAGGATTCACAAAAGTCGCAAATTGAAGAGTAACAATCACTATATCACTATTATTGGACTTTTATTTTTGACGGGACTATTAATTATATTAAATTTAATGATATAATAATATTTTTTAATATTTTTTCAAATTGGTTATTTATGTATATTGTTTTTT